AGCTAAATATGGGACATATGCAGCATGGAATTTCATTTTTGTTAAGATGACAGCTTTTTTTTTTTTTCATCACACATTCTGATATTGATACTTGTTATTTTCATTTATATATAGGAATAGAAACGTAATTGTACAGTCTATGGATGATTCTGCTGGTGATGTTTTCACTTTCAAATGTAACATCCCTATAAAATGGCAAAAAAAAAAAAAAAAGGTGTTCAGATGTTCATCTGAAGTCTTTGTTTCCTGTGAAAATAATATATAAATAAGTAGGTGAAATACAAGAGATTATAGCGGAACTATACTGAGAATTTCCTTCAGTAGGAGATAAAAGACTTTGCTTACAAGGCAAACTAGGAAGACTGTGACTCTAATACAGAAAGCCATATAAAAATGTAGTGCCTTAAAACAAAATATAAGTTCTAACTTACATGTGTTAAATTAAAGTTATATAATTAGGACCTTATGCTCCACCAACAAACATTTTTTGACTATGTGCTTTGTGTCAGGCAGTGTGCTGCATGCTGTGTGCAAATAGACAAAAACAAATTTTAAGAAGTTATTACGGTTGTTAATAGTCCTATATGTGCTTTGAGACTGTAGCTGTTTTGTGGATTTCCTTTAACTTATGTATTTTTTTTCACAATTAGAAGTTTATTCTTACATTTTACTTTCTGACTTCAATCCTCACATATGTAAAACCAGAAAATGCCATTCAATTCCTGCCACCAAACTGGATTATGTAACCTGAAAAAACTGATCTTTTTACCTAAAAGCCCATAGTTTTATCTCATTCATAAAACTATACAAACATTGTCCTGCCATTAATTTATGAGTATACTCTAATAGGAGGTCAGAGATTAGAACTTATGGTCTGAGAAAATTTTGGTTAAAGTAATGGATGTATTAGTAATGTTTATTTAGTGGTGCTCTCTGTGTTATGGTAGGCCCTAAGATATTGTAGTAAACAAGATAGACAAGTCCTTTGTTCTTTTGAAGCATATATTGTAGTAAGGGTAAACAAGTCAGAAAATGTCAAGCATTTTAGTGATGCGAGAACAAGAATGGGGGATTGAAGCAATAGGGAATGGCTTGAGAATGCTACTCTAGAATAGGTGCTTAGAAAAATTACCTTTGATGAGGTATTGTTTGGGCTGAGACCTGCAGCACAAGCAGGATTCAGTTAGCAAAGC